ATAAAGTATCCTTGTTCTGGGGGCAGACAACCCGAAAAGCGCCGTTCTTAACGTGTTAATCCGACAATATTTATGCAAATAGATATACAAAAATTTTAATCATTGTTTGTAAGAAAACGCAATTACTATTTAAGAAAGAATATAATAAGAAAAATTATCGTAATTTTAGTTAATTCTATTATTGCGCCATCTATTCGTTACTGATGCACTAAAATTTAATAGGCAATTATGTAGTCATATTCAGTATCGTATTGATGATTATACTTCCAACATTACACGCACGTATATAAAGTATCCTTGTTCTGGGGGCAGACAACCCGAAAAGCGCCGTCCTAAACGTGTTAATCCGACAATGTTTATGCAAATAGATATACAAAAATTTTAATCATTGTTTGAAGGAAAACGCAATTAGTATTTAAGAAAGAATATAATAAGAAAAATTATCGTAATTTTAGTAAAAATAAGTGAATACTATTATTGCGCCATCTATTCGTTATTGATGCACTAAAATTTAATTGCCTATTAAATTTTGTAGTCAATATTCATGATTATACTTCCAACATTACACGCATGTATATAAAGTATCCTTGTTCTGGGGGCAGACAACCCGAAAAGCGCCGTCCTTAACGTGTTAATCCGACAATGTTTATGCAAATAGATATACAAAAATTTTAATCATTGTTTGTAAGAAAACGCAATTATTATTTAAGAAAGAATATAATAAGAAAACTTATCGTAATTTTAGTAAAAATAAGTGAATTCTATTATTGCGCCATCTATTCGTTACTGATGCACTAAAATTTAATAGGCAATTATGTAGTCCTATTCAGTATACATTCATGATTATACTTCCAACATTACACGCACGTATATAAAGTATCCTTGTTCTGGGGGTAATTTAGAAAAATCACCACCGGATAAGTCGCAGCAACGGTTGAAATGGAAACGGATTGCGGCTAGAAACGAAAGATGACTATCACGTAACGCACACGAGCAAAAAAAAAAGAGGATGGAACGAGCAAAAGATGGTCTGACTGATGGTGGACTTTACCTCGACATCGATTCTTATTTTTCTCTTTCTTCTGGGGGGATTTCGAGCGGAAGATGGATTACCGCTCGGCTTGTCGAATGAAAATAAATGCGCCAGGTGTTAGTTGGGTGACCCGTTTGCCACGACCACGACAATCCCAGAAAGTAGCGTCGCGCAGGGATTTCCTTGCAGATAATTTATCTTCATACTTTGCAGATTCTAAAACAACATTTACATATGTTTAAGCTTATAAAGTTGCCTATAAACAGAATCTGTCATTACATTGACATATGTTTTTTTCTTTCATTAAATGAATAATTTGTTAATTAGTTTAATTACTCAATCCATTTTCTATACGCTTTTAATAATAACTACTCTACTTAATCCAGTGCGAACGTTAATCACTCATCTATAGCGGCGCAATCAAATACGTTTACGTTAATGTATACAAAGTTGCCTAATTATGTAATTAGGGGGAGCGGAAGGAAACAAAAGAAAAAGCAATTAATTTTGCTTCGGGTTTTTTTGGGGTGCGAGCGGGCACGTTCACATTACTTAACTGTATGCGAAGTTGCCTCGATTTTAACGGAAACGCAATTAATTTTGTTTAATGTGTATTTCAATTCGCGTAGGTGTGCGCACAGAAGCCGAGCGATTTTAATTAAGCATTCAAACGGAAACCGAGAAATTTATCTCGCTTATTATATTAGGCAATAAACGAAAATTAACGATAGCGAACGTATTCACAGCAAGTCAATAGTTATGCAATCAAGTTTACGTCGAAATATGTAACATGAGAAATTGTGCAATGTGGCAACGTTGCAAGTTATCTGGTCCGCTTGACAGGTCATAATAGTTTTGTTAAGTGATCATAGATGTCGGATGAATCGAAACGTATATTATCGCCGATTAACCTGTTTTTATCAATATTTTTTTTATGTACGATAGATTAGCGCAAACATTCGAATTTTAATTAAGCATTCAAACGGAAACCGAGAAATTTATCTCGCTTAATATATTAGGCAATAAACGAAAATTAACGATCGCGAACGTATTCAGAGCAAGTCAATAGTTATGCAATCAAGTTCACGCCGAAATATGTAACATGAGAAATTGTGCAATGCGGCAACGTTGCAAGTTATCTGTTTGGTCCGCTTGACATGTCATATTAGTTTTGTTAAGTGATCATAGATGTCGGATGAATCGAAACGTATATTATCGTCGTTTAACCTGTTTTTATCAATATTTTTTTTATGTACGATAGATTAGCGCAAACATCCGAATTTTAATTAATCATTCAAACGGAAACCGAGAAATTTATCTCGCTTATTATATAAGGCAATAAACGAAAATTAACGATCGCGAACGTATTCGCAGCAAGTCAGTAGTTATGCAATCAAGTTTACGCCGAAATATGTAACATGAGAAATTGTGCAATGCGGCAACGTTGCAAGTTATCTGTCCGGTCCGCTTGACATGTCATAATAGTTTTGTTAAGTGATCATAGATGTCGGATGAATCGAAACGTATATTATCGCCGATTAACCTGTTTTAATCAATATTGTTTTTATGTACGATAGATTAGCGCAAACATCCGAATTTTAATTAAGCATTCAAATGGAAACCGAGAAATTTATCTCGCTTATTATATTATGCAATAAACGAAAATTAACGATCGCGAATGTATTCAGAGCAAGTCAATAGTTATGCAATCAAGTTTACGCCAAAATATGTAACATGAGAAATTGTGCAATGCGGCAACGTTGCAAGTTACCTGTCCGATCCGCTAGGCATGTCATATTAGTTTTGTTAAGTGATCATAGATGTCGGATGAATCGAAACGTATATTATCGTCGTTTAACTTGTTTTTATAAATATTTATTTTATGTACGAT